GGGCCCGGGCCCCGCTCCCGCCGCGGCCAGACGCTCGGCTCCCTCCGCACCATGATCTCTGCCCGGGGCGGAGGCTCCATGCCTCCGCCGCCCAACGCCACTGCCTACTACCCCCCGCCTCGCGTGAATCTGCCCTGCGGCGTGGAGATCCTTCGCACTTACTCGGGGGCCTTCATCTGCCTGGAGATCGTGAGTGCCGGGGGCGGGAGGAGGGAGCGGGGGGAACCGCGGGCGGCAACAGGTGGCGGAGTTTCTTCCCGGCCAGGCAGCTCCCGCGCCTCGGCCGCCTCTTTAGCGGGATGTGGGAGGGGAGGGTCCTCTCTTCCCAAGGCTCGCGTCTAGGACAGCCCTCGCTTGTTTGCCTTTTTTGGCCGAGTCCCCCTAAAAACAATCAAAGCAATCAGCTGGTTGAAGGACCGGATCTGGTAGGTAGCTGGGCAGATCGGGCAGAGTTGACTTCCGTGCTGGCAGAAAAGCTGAGTAGACACAGGTCGGTCTGCGAGCCCGATGCTGGGAGGCAAATACACCTGTTGGATTCTGCGGCTTGCATACAGCTGTCAGGTTCAGGAGAAGGAAGGAGCCCCTGTCCCTTAGTCCCAACTTCTGGCCACATCTTTCCCAAGCACTAGGTTCCTCAGTTCCTGTTTAAGGTGCATATTTTTCACCAAGGCCTTTACAATACTCCGTTTTTCCCCCTGTTATTTTTCTGGCAGCAATTGCATTTCCCGAAGTAAAGTAGGTTGTAAGTGTAGACCTTATTACAACCAGGATTGCATAACAGGTTAGGCTAAGCTAAAATAGGGTGGTTCTGGTCTAGCATGTTGTAGGTACCCAAATTTTCCTCAGCATGTGGTGTGAACATTAAGCCCTAACACAGTTCATTGATTTGATCATGGCATGTTATGTGAACACAGGAATTGAACACAGTTTTAGAGTTTAGATTAATGTGTGAATCCCCTTCATTGGCTTCTCCTTTGTTATTTGTTTGTCCATTAGAGCCTCAGCTTCCCCTTTGGTTCCTCCTTATCCAAAGCCTTAGTTAAAAGCTTCCCACCCTTTCATTTAATTATGCATTTCCTTTGCCTCTCAATTTGAAGAGATTGGGTAATTTAGTCTAGTTGTATATAACTAGCTTTCTAGACTCTCAAGCAGAGTTCCCTGCCTGCCTCTGTCCCTGAGGAACTTTAGCTCCAGAAGCCGAGATGAGACAACGTACACACAGAGCATCTTCTCTTCAGTTCAGTTTTATGACTCTTCCCTTAGCAGCTAGTTTGTACTTCTTATTCAGCTTTTTCTACAGCACCACACCCTTTCTTTTCAAGATCAGCTGGTTTTGTTTCCAAACCAGGCACAAAAAGTGTTGTGGTGATGACAGCCGATCATGTGCCACTAAAGCCAAAAGTCAGTTCAGGGGGAGAGTTGTCATCATTTCTCTCCAATAAGGTTCCTAAAATTCCTGTGACACCGGTACGATGTGCAGAAATCTCAGAATACGTGATTTCCTCATCAGGGAGAGGACTGTGTTTAAAGAAAGATCACTTGCTGGATTTCAAGCTCCTGGGCTGCCAGTGAACCAGAAGATCCTTGCTGGGAACCAAGCTGGCAATATTTTCCTGTATTCTAATCTCTGTATTTCTCCTACACCTTTCTCAAGCACGCCTATGTTGCTGAAACTGCTCTGTTATTACTCCTCCAACCGCTTCCTGCCTGCCTGCCTGCTCGCTCCTATCTGAATGGCATTCTTCCTGCTGCTCTTTGCAGAGACAGGATCGGGGTGCACTAAGGATAAGCTTGGCAAAAGATAACAGAGAAATCCCAAGAGTCATCTGAATACCTCATAGCAGCCCAATTGGCAAAGAGAAAAGTCCCATCGTCACCCCACTTGTGGGACTGGCCACAGCCTCTGCTGACTTTGTCTTCACTGGCAGGTGACCTTAAGGCTGTGTTGTCCAAACTTGGCCACTTTAAGATGACTGGACTTCAACTCCCAGAATTCCCCAGCCAGCCATGCTGGAGGGAATTCTGGAGTTGAAGTCCACTCATCTTAATGTGGCCAAGTTTGGACAACACTGCCTTAAGGGAACGTGCAACCTTAAGGGAATGTCATAATGCCTAGCTCCCCTCTTATATGATGCCATGATTTGTTTAACCATGATTTAGTACAGGAATGATCAACATGGTCTTCACACAGCCCCCTGCATCTGGAGATGGTGTCGCATAGGTTCAACAGCAGAGTGGCCAAATTACTCCTCCTCTCCTAAAAAAAAAAAAAAAAATTGTCATAAAAGTGAAAAAGATGTCTTCAGGCTGTTTTAAAAGTAGCTTGCCTCCTGCTCTTCAAGGCCTCCAGAGAAACCCTACAACAGTTGGTCCCAACCCTTCCCATGACATCGCAGCATGAATGGGTTGCTTTCTGCAGCCATCTGGAAGTTGCAGAGACTCCCAACCAGAGTCTTTTGCCAACGTGTTGAACAAGAGGCTCTCCAGTCACAGACGATAGGTGGGGAGGACAAAGCACCAAAGTTTTTTATTTGGTGGTCTGGAAAACAGACATCCTGTTTCTCTCAGTTGCTTTTTCCTGGAACCAGGTTAGTGGAGGAAAGTGAGAATGATTTATGCTGCTAGGTAACCGTGTGCAAGCCTGTCCTCTCACAGGTCTTCCTCAAACATTTTCCTACCTGTCATTGCTTACATAAGATAGAACTGCGGCTCTTGAAACATCTTCATTAGCTCCTCCACCCTGGAGGCACAACCGAACTGCTGGGAGTGATTCCTTCCTTGGTGCCCCTTTCCACATTGTCTCATCACCCTGCACGATCACAGTGTTAAATATTATTAAACTTTTTTTTTTTTTTAAAACAAGGAGCTCTGATAAACTCCCCAAGAGGATTCTGCAAGCCTCCTCTAGCACAACCCTGCTACTGATCCCACGGAGTTGGGCCCCTTGGCCTTCCCTCCAGATGTTATTTTATAGAATAAACCACAACTAGCTGGCTTTGTACAACATCCTGAGCGAAAACCGAACAAGACACATTTGGATTTGCACAGTTTGCTCAGCAGCTGGGTTCACGCAACCCTCTAAGCTATTATTACTACTACTACTATTACCACTATTATTATTATTTTATTAAATTTAGACACCACCCTAGCTGCAAGGGACTGTGGACATCTTACCCTTTGAAAAGTAAAGACAATAAAATAAAGAGAGGAAATCATGTCATATGGAAAAAAAAAAAACCACCATAACAGACCAAAAAATAACTAACAGAGGCTCAACATTCACCCTTCCCTAAAATCAGTGAAACCAGTTAGGTTTTCAGGGACCTTCAGAATATCCATCAGGGTGGGAGCCCCATGGATCTCTGGGGGAATACTGTTCCGGAGGGCAGGCACCGTGACCGAGAAGGCCTACTTCCTAGATGCTGATAAATGAAGGAATGTGGAGTGCATCCACTATGCCAGATCTTACAGAAACTATCGGAGTTAGGCAATCCTTCAAATAAGCAGGTCTAATGCCATAAGGAGCTTTATATGTGATATGCCAGCATTTTGAATTGCATCCTGGAAGCCAGTTAGTGACCAGTGCAGCTCACAGAGCAGTGGTGACAAATGCGCATATCATATCCTGCCCATCGTTGCCTGCATTGCTGCATTCTGGACCAGCTGTAACTTCCAAATGGTCTTCAAGGACAGCCCTGTTGAGAGGGTATTGCAATACAGGTAGTCCTTGACTTATGACCATTTGTTCAGTGACAGTTCAAAGGTATGAATATGCTGAAAAAAGTGACTTACGACTGGTACCTGAAGTTACGCTGTTGCAGCACCCCTGCATCACATGATCAAAATTCAGGCACTTGGCAGTCTATCCACACAGGGATGGATGAAACGGCCACAGGGGCGCTTCAACTCCCCCCACCCACCTATCTCTCTTCCATCTATGCACTTTGCCCCCCTGCTGCCCTGTGTTCTGCTGCCCCAGCTAACCTTCACTGTCTTCTTGCTCTCGCTGCTGACGAGGGATGCCTGGCCTTTGGTTTTGGTTTTGATTTGGTTTTGAAGCACGAAGCAAAAGCCAAAAGCCCAGCCCAGCCCCTGTCAGTGAGGGTGATGGAGTGCAGGGTGGTGAGGGCGACTATGGCTGGGACTGGGCTGGGGCAGCTGCGTCTTCCTGGGGTGTGGCAAGCAGCCCCAGAGCCACACAGATCTGGGGCTGGTTGCCGCCCCCAAGGAAGGTTGCAGGACACCCAAAAGAGCAGAGTTGTGGGGGAGCTGGAGCTGAACCTTACTGAGGCTGAGGGCTGGAAAAGCTCGGAATGGCTTGGATTGGGGTGGGCACTCGCTTAATGATCCATGATGCTCAATTAATGACGGCAGTGGGGAGTGCTGGGATTGCAGTCTCTAAGTGGTGCGGTCATGTGATGTCTTGCTTTACAACTGCATTGCTTAGCGGCAGAAATTCTGGTCCCAAGTGTGGTTGTAAGTCGAGGACTACTTGTTTGTTTGTTTGTGAGTTAAACTAGGGTCTATATTCTAATGATATGCTAAAGTTGATTAGTTTTGATTTGTTGGATTTTTAATGGCTTGGTTGGAAAAACCCATCCCATTTAATTAGCTTATCATTCAGAGTATTGTGCAAACCCAGAAAATGAATTAGCTCAGTAACCAAGTTAAGGATATTATGCAAACCCAAGTCTCTTAACTAAATGGATAGTATATATTGCTGCTATCATTTGTGTCTGAACTGGAACAGGCTAAAGGCTATAGGGAAAAAAAATCAGAAAATGTTTCCCCAGTGGCAGAAGTAATTTGCCAGTTTTATTTTTATTTATTTTTTTAAAATTTATTTCTACAGTTTATAGGCTGCCTGGCTGCCCATGACTCTGGACAGCTTACATTAATTTAAAAAAAAAAGTACAGAGGCACCAAAAAAAAATCATGAACAGCCCTAGAAGCAACCTAAAGCCAAAGGAAGTACATCCAACAGAGCTTGGGAGAATAACCAGGTCTTCGCTAGCTTCTGGAGCGTCATCAGGGTAGGAAACATCTGGATCTCCGGGAGGGATGTCATTCCAGAGGGCAGGCAGCGCCACAGAGAAGGCAGTAGCTAGTAATGTTGATGACTTCTCCATTCTAAGCCTCCCTCCCGCCTCCTTCCTGGTCACATGACACAGAG